ACCATCCCTGCTCGCAGCTCCCGCTGAAGCCGGCTCCGGCGGTGGCAGCGCTGGGCTCTCAGTCCCGCCGCGGCGCTGAGCTCATGGAGCTTGGGTTGAGTTCCAGCCTTTGAGCTCACGCGGCTGCGGGGTGGGCTTCTCTTCAGGGGTTGTGCTTATGGCTTAAGACTGCGAGGTGGAGTTTCTCCGATTTGATTTCACAGGGTTGGTTTTTTTTGGGGATTGTTTTTTTTTTTTTTTTTTTTTTTAATATATATATAGTTCATGGCAACCTCACTATCACTTAGGTAATTTTCTCCTCCCCACTTTCCTGCCAGTGCTTCAAAACAAAGCAGCAGCCCTTTCCCCAGAAGGAGCCCAAAGCCTGGCTGGGCTTTAACTCTTTCCTGAGAGCGGTTTGCTTTCCCAGGAAAGGGAAGGCAGGGAGACAACAGGCTCCAGCTGGAAGGGAGGATTAAGGGGAGCCTGCTGCTAAACTTCCCTCAACGTAAAGTAACACAGCCTGCTGGGAGCAGAGAAGTGGAGAATCCCCAGGTCCAGCCGCCAGCGAGCCCTGTGCCCGGTCCCAGGGCTGTGCCGTGCCCAGTGCCTTGGCAAGGGGGGGACTCTGAAAACTGTCTTTAGATCCTGAAATTTTCTCAGTAAATTAAGCAAAGAACTCAAGGATGCGAAATCATCGCTGACCTGAAGAGAAGTAACTCCATTAGCTTCACTAAATTGACTTCAGCCAAACAGAGAGCAGAACGAAGGGGTTCAGAGAAGGTTTAGGGGAGAGACAAACCCATGGGCAGAAACCTCTGCGTAGAACCTGGAGCAGGAGAGGGATGCGAGACTATTAAGTAACTCCCTGGAGCTCATTTCCATTAATAACACATTCCAGAAATGTTAAAAACAGCATAGAAATACTGAATGCAGTTTTATGACCAGGCTGAAGGTTACCAAGGGGAAGCAGTTGGCCCTGGCTCCCCGGTTCTCCAGCGGCTGCACCGCAGGCACCTGGGTACCAGCACGGTGAGGGACGCTCTGCCGCGGGCACAGACAGGGCTGAGTCAATGCACCCTAACATGGCCCTAAACATGAGTATCTCAGAAAGTATTGATTGAAAAAAAAATTTTTTTAATTTAAAAATACTTTAATGTTTCCATTTCTTGATTTTTTGTATGGGGACATCAAAGACAACAGAAATATCTCCGTAATCATTTTGGTTTTTGGGGATTAAAAAAAAAAGTGAGATATGATCTTTTGGGGAACTAAACTCTAGTTAGGTCTGAATTCTTCCTTTTCTTTTACAGCTAAATGGTGTGGTCACTAAAGGAGTCATTGCTAAAAGGAAACAAAAAATGAGGTGGCCAGGAAAATAGCTACGGAGGGAAGGACAGTTAAGCCCTTGCTCAGTATATGATCTTCATGTGGATGCCCCATTATGCTTCTGCAGTCGTGTGTCTACAATCAGCAAAAGGGTTAAAAGACAGAAAAAAAGGTAAGGTAGTATTATGTACAAAGAAAGTCCCAAATAGCATTTCCATTGTACACGTTTATTGATATGACAAAATTCCAGTAGCCTTTGTTTTTAGCTTGGGACAGGGTTTGGATGGGATGATGTTTAAAGGTCCCTTCCAACCCAAACCATTCTGTGATCCTATGACAGGAAAATGTCTCTTGGAAGGAAACATCTGTAGCTGGGAATGTACTCCAACATCTATATAAAGATTTCTATTATGTTCAGTAATCCGTTACTGAATGACAGCGCTACACAGCTCTGTTAAAGACCAAAATATCCTGGTCAAGTATTGTCGGTATAAAACCTGTGTGTGGACACAGCCCGGCTGTCTCCACCAGCTCCCACCAAGCGTTTTCTCTTTTTTCCTCTCTCAAACACACACGCAGAGAGAAACGCATGACTCAGTACATGACACAGGTTTGCATGCAAATCAGTATAGAAATATATTCAAAAGATGAAATGAGAAAAGCAGAGCGAGATAAAGCGCCTATTTAAATAACAGATTTTTTTTTTCTATTAAAGTGAGAATTTGGGTTGAATTACACAACTGAAAATAAAAAATTGAAATTTCAAAGTACCAGCCAGGAGGAAGAGAGAAGATAAGACCAACATCCCATCACACTGAAAAGCATCAAGAAAAGCTGCTGAGCTACAGGGCTTGGGGCCACTCTTGTACAGCGACAGCAAGAATCTGAGAAATGCTGAGAAATTTTATTTCGTCACTAAAAATAAAGCAAACTATAGGAAAAGAATAAAACAAACCATCATTTCTTCCATGCTGCAAAGTGAAAAGGTTAAATAGAATTAAATGCAATCTAACAATGACAACAGCCAAGGTGCAAACACAGCAGATGCCTCCTGGTGGTCCCCACGGCCAGCCCGGCCACCGCGGCGGCAGAGCCCCAAGCCCCTCGTTTGCGCGGGAGTTGCACCACGAGCTGGGGCAGCCCCACGGTGGGTTCTTGCCGCTGGCTGGTCACCCTGCGCCCCTTCCTGCCCGCGCTGGGGGCTCTCCCCTCCGCCCGCCGGGTTTCCTGCCATTCTCCTCCAGCGCTGCTGCGGGCTCCCGAATGAGAGAAACCAACAGAATCATCCGGGCTTGGCTGCCGGTTTTATTTCACCTTTCGAAACCAGACTAAAAATAGAGAGTTGGACTCAAAATAGCCGCTGGCCGGGTCTGCCAGACACCGAGCGCGGGAAGGTCCCGGGTTTGGTTTCCAGTGGAAGTCAAGCTGCGTGTAAGTGGAATTCCCTGAGCAGGGTCTCGTTAATACTCATGCCCCCTTTCTGCTCTACCTGAGGATGCCAGTTCGTGCCTAAAAACTCATCTGAGGATAGTGACTCAGCTAAGCACGGTGCAACGGCTCCATCTAACATATCCTCAGTCGAGGAACCAAGAAAAAGCCCCAAATCAGCGCTTGCTGTCAGCACCCCGCCTGCGCCAGCACAGCGCCGCTGGCAGCAAGGCTTGGACAAGGCTGGCCCAGCCTAACCAGGAGTCAGTCGGGCTTTGTCGTCTGATCTCCATTCACAATCATGCTTCAGAGATGCTGTGAAGTGGGCAAGCTCTTCAGCTGTGTGTCTGTGTGTGTACACACCCCCAAGTATATTCCAAATATTCAGAATTTCCAGCTGTACCCAGGCTCTTTGGTTATTTCCGTCAGTTTATTCAATGAGCGGAAGATAACACCTCCTCTCCTTGATACAGCTCTCCATTTAAACCTCTCTTTAAAGTGACTTTCAGACTCATAGCAAATTTTTCTAGTTAAAAAATTTACAGACCAAAGTAAGAAACATGCACTTGAATTATCTCGAAGCAGCCTGTGTCAGCTGTAGAAGGTTAACAACGACCGAGCCAATTTCAACTAAACATTTACAGGATCAAGTGTCCAAATTTCAAACAGCACGGCGATGAAGGCTTGTTCACATAGACTGGGAATTTGTCCAAGTATTAAAGAGTGATTTAATTTAATTGTGAATGATGCAATAGACATATGGCTAGGAAGTTATATGCCAGGAAACGTGTTTTCTATAAGTATTTTAGCAGGCAGATGGCATACAATGGTTTCGGTGTAGTCATTTCCCCACCTCTTAAAAGCTGCTATTTTGGACAGATGAAATAACGACATTCCCACCATCCTCCCCAGGCACCAGCACTGCTGACCCGGAGGATGTGCAGCGTTAGAGAACTATTTCTGTACAAAACCCCATCACAGAAATCAAACCTTACGCTCACCTAGCCATTGCCGTTCCACAGTTTCAAAGCATTTAAATCATTTTCCCACTTAAATGGGAAGCGAGCGAGTATTAACGTTTCACCACCCGGGCGAGAACAGCAGCGTTGGGGCAACGCCACACCACAGCTCAACCCCAACAGCCAAAAGTTGTGCGTCTCAATCCTCAGCCTTAGCAACCAGACCTCACCACTTCCCAGACAGAGCAGCGCTTTCTGGAAATTACAGCCCAGCTCTGACCTCCACCGCTGAAGGATTGCTGTGGGAGATCCAGGTTTCGGGAGCGGTGCGAGCATCCCTGCGCCTGTACGGGTGGGGTGGCCAGGGCAGAGCTCAAAGCTGCAAATAAAATGGTATTGGAGTGAAGGCTGGGTTATTTCTCCTAGTAAAGCTTCTCAGATGCTGTTGGGACAACACTGCCTTTGTGTTAACAGGACCAAATCCTGACTAGGGGGAACTCCTGTCCCCTGCTAAGGCAGGACACAAGCGCTCTGCTCCGAGGAGACGGCTCCTGAGGAATGGCCTGATTGTGATTCATATCAGAAAGGGCAAAGAGCTCCAAAGCTTCCCTCCTATTATCATCCTTATCACGGTTTCCTTAAGAACTTGTCATCTATTTGTTTTACAGTGTTTGGTTTTGCACGTTATTATATTTATATAGTAACTCTTGGGGCAGGAAATGCTTCCTTTATTAGTGCTTCAGAAACGACATCCTGAGAGGGCAGCAAGGCATCCTCTGTGCGCAGGCTGTTCTGGAGAGATTACTGCCCCCAATTCTACAGCAGAGCTGCTCCCCAGCCACCTGCTCCTCCCAACCCTGGAGGAGCCGCTTTCCCCTGAAGGGACATCCCTGCGTGTGCCGTGGGCACGCTGCCCGGCATCACCGGAGGATGCTGGATGAGACCCCCGCCTCCCCCTCCACCCCACCTTCACCTACAGCTCTGGATGAAGGCTCCCCCTCTCCTCCCTTCTTTGCAATCTCAGAGGAAAACCTCCTGCTTCAGCAAGAAGTACGCAACTCATCTGGGCTCTTAAATTTACTCCCAAACCGAGTGCACAGAGCCTTTAATAACCATCATTTATGAAAGGACGCTGTCTTTCTACACCACTATTTATCTATGTGTGTGTATTCTTTTTGTAAGTCTTATTTAAATATAGTTCTTAGTAGTAAAGACCAAAAATACATTTTTTTTTTTAACTCAGGCAAAGCTTTGCCTCTTCATA